CTTTGAAGGGTCTTCTCTCCACAGATCTGACCTGTAACTTTGCCCGGTAATGTCATCTGCTTGTCTCAATGGAGGTAGAGGTAGATAGTCTAATAAAATTTTAATTAAAGGTATTGGATTTCTGTGAAGTTTAAGCCATGTTATAAACTTTTATCTTTATTATTACTTTTTTTTTTTTATTAGTCTGACTACATCTCCAAAGCTCAAAATGCTTTGTTCCACCTTGTGATGTCATGAAGCGGGAATTTCCAAGTCAACAGCTACAATTTAACTTTAGTTCAGTAGAAATTGGTAATTCCAGAGATTATCCAGATAATTCTAGTAAAACTCTATGGAGTTTAAAAACACAGTAAAGCACTTCTGGTATTGCGTGTTTTGTGTTTGAGAGAAGAACTCAACATAAATACTCACTCCCCACTCACACACACTCATACACCAGTGTTAAGTTAAGTATCTTGCCCAAGGACACAACAACAGCATTTATCTGTGGGAGCTGGAATCGCCAATGATAGCTGCTGCTGCTGTAGTTAACGGGTGCCTTTCACTTTTTGTTCAGTAGAGTTTTTGATGAGGAAACAACATTATAACTTAGATCAGAAAATAGTGTAATATGGGCCCTTTAAAGAAAATGTCCCACACCACTAAAAAGTTACACAATGCACCTTTAACCAAAGAGAAGCTTGTTTCAGAGAAGCTTTTCCATCATTATGTCATGTCTCTTTTTTTTTCCCTTTTCCTCTCCTCCCCCCTCCTTTCGCCTGGCCCCCCGCTGTTCACTGATGGGTGTCACTCAAGGTGGAGGGCGTCCCGGGACAGTGCCAGTTCACTCGACCAGTGAACGCTTGTCTCCTTGTTCCCTTGTTTCCATGTTTCCTCCACTTGTCCCCTTCACTTCCACTGCGGCCTTTGTGACCCGCTGACCCGTGACCTGCGTGACCCCAGACAGCCCCAAAGACCTTTACTCACAAAAGTTAAAATACTATGGTACATCTTGGACATTTTATACATTTACTCATCCAAAACCTTTTTACTTTGAGATTACGTTTCGGCAAAATAATTTCAGATCATTTCTTGTTTTTTTTCTCCTAATTATTCACCACAATGAGTGAGAGCGGAGTTCACAATGATGGTAAAGTTAGTAATAACCTGCGTGTTTCCTTATTCTCTGACAATAAAACGCTTCATACTTACAGCTGGACAGTACACTGCAGATTTATTTTGACCTTAAGATAAATAGGCAGACAAACAGATAGATAGATAGATAGATAGATAATGTAAATACTTTATTGTATCCTCAGAAGGGGAAATTCAGGTCTTGCAGCTGTATCTCATGAGCACCTTTTAAAAAAAAAAATACAGCATACCATGAGGAGAGAAGGAGGGGGAAAAAAAAGAAACAACCCCCAGACCATTCTCCTGTGGGTAGCATCAAGTGGGACCAAAAAAAAAAAAAAAACACCCTTTGTGACATAAGTGCATGATCAAACACAGTACAACATGAAGACTGGACTTGCAACAGGGGAAGGGAGCGGGGGCGGAGTCACAGGCAAAAGACTATAAAATATAAAAAACACAATACAAGGTGGGCCTGGAGAGTCGCTCCACCTGGTGTCATCACAGACGGTCAATATGTGCAGGTGTCAGTGGCACTCGGGCAAAGGAGAGAGAGGAGAGAGTCTCACTGCAATGTCCTTCGAGGGGAGTTGTTGTTCCAGCAGTGGCCTTGGTGCTAGATGAGGGAGGCCGAAAGCAGAAGAGATTGGGGTTGTTTGGGTTTGGTGCAAGTAGCTGCATTTGAATTCCCACAACGACTCTTTTTGTCCATACTGATCTCTTTGTCTATTGATTTGTCTTTTTAGGGCTGTGAGCTTCTCCATGATGTTATCCATATTGCGGTTTAAAGCTGCTTATACAATATATCTGTACTGAAGCAGATGAATTTTGCTCAGATACATGGGAAAATTCAGCATTTAGTTGATTCTTATGTTTGTACCTTGCCTGGGATTCAGAATACACACTTTTTCAGTACTTTACTAAGTTGTGAGTCACTGGTGATTCTCAGATGGACATGATTGACAGGTGGATTAGCCAGTTAGGACATACATGGTCTGTCGTTATCTAAAACAAGTAAGGAAAAACTTATGACAGGAGCCCGAAAGACACTGTAGATTTTTTCAGAATCATTAATGGAAACACTAAACTCGGTTAATCAGAGGTGAGAGAAATTGTCTTTTACTTGAAAATAATACGTGACCAATGAGCTCCTTTGTTTCACATGTGTCACTGAAAACACACACACAAACAAACAAACAAAAAAATAATCTGTTTTCACAATCAATTGGGTTTAGATGCAAGAGAGGGTGTGAGAATCAGACAGTATTAAAATACAGACTGTATAAATATCTTTGTATTTTTATAGAGATTTTATATACCATTCTGGATTGGCCAGGCAATTCCAGTTTCTTCTGACCCAAACAAGTCAGAAAATCTATAGCTAAAAGTTGAGTATTATCACTTAGAAGCATGATGACTTTTGTATTACTGGTCACGTTCACTGTCCAGTTTTAAAATAACTGTGGAAAATGTCAGTTACAACTTTGTAAAAGTCGTAACTATATGCTTTTTGTGTGCGTTTGTTGTCATAGATGGCTGGTACTGCTCTTGACCCAGTATAGCTCTAAATTACAGGTCCCTAATGATCAGGAGGACTACACAAATATCACATTTAAAAAGTCAACTACAGTCTGGAAAACTTGTTCAAATAAAGTGACGCACGATTTCACCCAGAAAGTTCCATCTTTAAATTGTCTGTGGCCAAAAGAGGTTTTTACAATGGAGGTTCTGCCACTTCATTATTTCCATAGAGAGAAACAAGCTATGAAATATTCCACAGTATGGCTTTAAAAATTTCTGTCTACTTAGAGGCGAACAGGTGGTGTCTATCTATCCACCTGTCTATTAAAAATGTGTCCATAGTTTAAAATGTTTTCCAGTTACAGATACTTATCTTTTTGTGTGCCTTATACAAATAAGAAGTATTTAAAGTAAACCCTTGTGCTTGTGTCTGTTATACATTTGTAATTTATAACACTAGTGGATCATGGTGTTATCACTTGCACATTTTAAATCACATTATTTATCTAAAATGACTTAATAAAAGAAACAAATCTGCCATGTTAGAAAACTGTGGTGCTCAGTGGAAGCTGACGTCACTGTAAACGTCATCACAACAAAGAGCGGTGAAGTTGTTGGCACCTCCGATGGATAGTTGCAGGTCACGCTATCGAGCTGCAGATTTTATTTTTATTTTTTTCATTTTTACCACAATGACTATGTGACACTGCCAAACCACATGTATCACAGATGAAGAAAATAAAACTGAAGAAGTACAGAGCAGTGGGCGTGCACTGGTGGTGGTGAAAATGTGAGCTGATCAGCAAAATGCGAACAAACTATAACATGGTTAAAAGCTCTAAAAAGCCTTGAATTAAAAAAATCATAAGTCTTGACCAGTATAAAAGAATTCCTCTATATATTCCCCCACCACATCATCTGAGAGCTATCTTTAGTACCACATTTCCTGACACTCTACATTTCCAAAGAAAATGGAAAATGCTGCCGTCACGACAGAGCTGCTGTATCATGTGTCCATCTTCTGCATCAGGGTTTATTCGATTACACAGGGATTATTATAACACGGAGAAACACACGAGACTCCATTTAAACTGTGACAGAAGCTGTGAGTCAGAAAGAGAATCAAAGTTTCCAATGACATGACAACGTAGGACATCCTGACCTGTCATTATCACCACGTGGTTAGCTCATTTTGTATATTCAGCAAATTTTTTACATTACAAAGAGTATTTTTAGTATATTCAGTTAGCAAATCATCAGGGCAAAAATCTGCTGATGGAGCTGAAAACAAGGGTTGGTCGGCAATATGTGGTCTTGAAAATAAGTCATTAAAGATTGCTCAAACCCCACAAATCACTCCAAATACAACTTCAGGTTCATTTAATGGTGAGAAGAAACAACTATAACATGGTTAAAAGCTCTGAAAAGTCAGTTTTGTGGAATAGGTTTGCCTTAATCACCAAATTAAACAAAACAAACGCAAAGGACCCTATTTGTCTTTAACTCACAGCATACAGGATGTGGAATGCTTTCTGTTTAGCTATTTGTACATTTTGTTGTTACTTTTTTCTAAAGTAATCTTTACATAAAATGATCACAACAGGAATTTAATTATAGTCACAAACTACAGGACATTGATTTGATCAGCGTCAGAAACAATTACACTTTTTGTCTCTACTAATATGCAACTGTATAAGCTTAATGTGCTCTTCAGGCCTGAAATATGCGCACTGACACATGACCTATAGACCCATTAAAATGTGATGTCTTCGAAATGTTTGCAAAACGGAGGCATGTTATATAGTTATTTTTGTTTTTCAGCGCTTATAGTTTATGCAAATGAGCCATGTGGTTTTAAGTTTCGTTTCTGTCAAACGTAAACAAATGTGCGCAAAGCTGCATTAAACACATTATTAATCAATTTATATTTGAGTTCTCATCATAGGAAAAAAAAAAAAAAGCACATTCATAATACATATTCACCAAGACAGGGAGGCAACGCCGGACGAGTTACACCACGATTTGCCAATGGATCGTGGATAACTGGGCTAAGGGATTAGTCTCAAGTGTCGTCCATTTTTTTGCTTAAAGGACCCATCTCATGCAAAATAACTCTTTTCACATTGTATCTTCTGCACATAAACAAGCACAGTTTGGGTTTTGGAACATCCATTACACAATAGTTATGAAATCTTACTGATTTCTTGGAGGCAATCACAGACCAGGAACTATGAAAGGCCGGCTATTGCTCATCCCCCCGCCCGTCCTGAGAAAGCACAGGCTCCGCCCTCCAAACGTGACATAGGATCTGAGTGAGCCGCCCTTCCTCCGCCCATCTCAGGGAGGGAGGGGGAGACAGCTGTGCACCCTGATAGCGGCAGGAATAAACTTTTATTCATCATGGCGACACAGCGCATTCATCCGCATATGTTGGACCTGGAATCGGACGAGGCACACGAAGCACAAGCACCGCGTCGACATCAACTGAACATTACTGATTGGTAAAGTATTAATAAACACTAGTAGATAAACTTATTATATCGTGTACACTGCAGTGTAGAACAATTAGTTTATGCTGTCGCTTTTGTTTAGGTGTTCATGTGGGAATTGTCAGCCGATGCGAGGTGGAGGTGGGGCAGAGGAGGTGGGGCGGGCGTGAAGAGCTTTCTGCGACGTCAAACGCATCATAGGTGTATCTGCCGCGTCATCGTTGTAGCAGCTTTAGTTCGTTTGTCACGTGGGAGGGTGGCAGAAATACGCTGCTATTTGTTAAAAAAACGCAGAATCAATCTAAAAACCACTTTGGCGACATATACAAGGCCCACACATCACTCTTAGAAGGTAGAAAGCTCTGAAAAGTTGATTTTGCATGAGATGGACCCTTTAATTCGCCTTGTAATCCGGTGCACCTTATGTATGAAAATAGTTGAGAAAATTCAACATTATTGATATTGCGCTTTATAATCCGGTGCACCTTATAGTCCGAAAAATACGGTAATGGCTGTTTTAAGAGTGTTAAATCACCCACAGTATAAAAACTAAATTTAAAATTCTAGTTCTAATTCTGTTAACATTTGCATCGTATCCTTGTCCCTTGTATCCACACAGGGGTCAGTGCACAGCTCAGACTCAGCTCTCCGGCCGTGATCCAGGGCACAAAGTGTTCAGTTCCTCACCTCCCTCACAGGAAACAGACACATGACATCACCTTCTCATCTCCTGTGCCCCCCGGGACCACCACAGACAGGAGGGGACGAGAGGACGGACAGAAAAGGTACATGAATAATATGGGAACGCTACGGAGGTGTGAGGCTGAAAATAGATGTTTGATAAGTGTGACAATATGGCGGAAGGAAATATCCGACCGATGGACTGCTCTAGTTCTACACATGTGGATATCTGAAGGAAACCAGTCTTTGTTGTGACAGCGCACTGACCTTTTAGACTTTTCCTTATAAGGCTGAAACTACGAATCTCTACCAGCTGCTGCGTTCAGACCTACATATGTATTTGATCCACTTTGATACTTTGCAGCTGACGTCATCAACATTTCCTGGAGGTGTTGTGATGCTAACTGTAGGCTCTGCGCGGTCTGCTCTGTCTCTCATTTTGTTTTTTTTTTTTGTTTTTTTCGTGTTTCAGACTTTTTTGGCAGTGTTTGCGAGTGTCATAGTACTCAAGACCACTCTTGGGTCTCGAGACCAGACTCAAGATCTATTTTTTTTTACGGATTCTCATTGCAGCCCATGCGCTCGTTTGATATACATGTGCCAAAATAACTGTAAAATACAAATAAAATAAATGTCAAAAATTACAAAGATGGTCTCGATTTGGTCTTGATGGGCTGTGGTCTTGGTCTTGTCTCTGTCTCAACCCTCAGAGGTTTTGGTCTTGACCCTCTGAGCTCTTGGCCTTATCTCGGTCTCGACCCTCAGAGGTCTTGGTCTTGTCTTGGCCTTATCTCGGTCTCGACCCTCAGAGGTCTCGGTCTCGTCTCAGTCTCGACCCTCAGAGGTCTTGGTCTTGTCTCGGTCTCGTCTTGGTCTCAACCCTCAGAGGTCTTGGTCTTGTCTCGGTCTTGTCTCAGTCTCATCTCAGTCTTGACCCTCGGAGGTCTCGATCTTATCTCAGTCTCGACTCTCAAAGGTCTTGGTCTTGTCCTGGTTTCGGGACCCTGTGGTCTCAGACTGGTCTTGGTCTCGATTAGTGTGGTCTTGACTTCAACAATAGTGTTTTCTAATGTGTGCATTGTGTCACCATGGTAACTGCTGAACATTTTACCATATACGCCCCCCCAACCACACATACAATATTATAACACTAGATAACACTAAATAGTGAGTATTTACCTTTTGTACTTCATCCAGGTGTTAATTTTCACCTCTTGTCACCTTGTTTGTGTATTCTGAGCCTTTTGTATTATCATTCGAGCATGGATCAATACTTAAGGTAAAAAAGCAGAAAAGAAAATGTATTTCTTTCTTTTTGTGATAAAGTTTCAGTGGGGTGGTACCAGTCAAAGTGCCCTGTATCCAAAGGGTCATAGGTTCATATCTTGCGTAAAAGCGCATTGTGAAACTTTTCTGGTGGAGGGTCCATCAAATAGCTTTTCTCCTTTGCTTCGTATGGAATGTTTCACAGTATGGTATTAAACCTTTTTATCTTCATGGAGACAAAACCAGGCCGAGTTACAGGTCAGATCTGTGGACAGGTGACCCTGTTCGCAGTCAAAATGTTTGTTTTTCTAGGTATTTTTGAGCTATAAAACCACCTGTGAAAGAATAAATATAAGGTAGAGCTGTTTAATGTTATACTGTGGAACATTCGAAGCAGAGCAATGGCATATCCATAGAAACACGCAGGTGATGAGCCCCAGATCAAAAAGTTACAGTTAATTAGTTAGTCTTTCGACTTAAAAAGCCCCCAAAAAAAGGTTCAACACTGTGTCATTTTGGTGAATTTTACACTTCTGTACAAAAATTTTATATAATTTCACACCTACTTTTTTTAACCTGTGATTTAAAATTTCCAAACTAAATGTAAAATTTAGCTGTTCACGTTGATGTACATAGTGATCTAGGTGCAGTTTGAGAAAGGGTTGGTCACTGCAATGAGAAATAAAAGCCAGTACTGAAGAGTATATACTCGTAAGTCCTGTCAGAGCTGCCACAGTCATTCACACATCTATACGCACTGTTCTGAGTAATCCTCAAAGCCACATATAAGGTCAAGTAAGAAGTATACAAGTTCCATTCTTCTTAAAATAAAATGTCATCATTTTTGCTTCTCAAACATATCATGTGTTTTTTATTAAAGGGCCCATATTACAGTATTTTTCATCACAAACAGATCTGGAGTTGCGTTTTGTTTTAATAATATACAAATTATACACATATTTAAGCATTAAAGGTTCTTCTCTCAAACAGAAAAGACTCTGTTTCACCTTGTGATGTCACACAGGAAGTGCTCCACCATGTTTTTAAACTCCGTACGTCTTCACTAGAATCATTTGGATAATTTCAGCCCCGGAACTGCCAATTTCTTCTGAACAAAAGGTTCAGAGAAATAGATGGTGACTACCTTGGCTGACATGAAAACTACTGCTTCATGACATCATAAGGGGGAACAGAGCATTTTGAGCTTTGGAGATGCAGGTAATGAAACAAAACACAACTCCAGGTATGTTTTTTGATGACAATATTCTAGCATGGCTTAAAGCTTACAAGGGTAAATTTTGCGTACTGTGAGACCTTCAAACTAAATATTACAACCACGTGTTTTTTTATATAGTGTTTTATTACAGTAATTTATCAGTTTGCCATTATAAAATCTTCCTCATCTTATCACACACGCTTTTCGCTGACAATGCTCTGAGCACACGGGGGTCAAAGATCACAGAACAGGAACAAAATGGGTTATTTATGGGAGATAAAACAGCACAAGGTCTGAACAAACAGAACCACGGCTGAGGTCAGATCATCGGGTCAGTCATCACACACTTCTCTCATGGTTTTTACTACCTTTACTATTTATAAATGGGACTGTGTAGAGATTTTTGAATAGGGAATCTCTGTCAGTACATAGGGAAGTTAACATGCAGTACAATTCTGAATAATCCAAAGTGAAGTCAGAGGTGTATAAGTTCGTTTACAGCAAATATACAGTAATTCCAGGACTTATGCAAGAGATTTCCCATAGTCTAGAGGTAAAGACTTAAAGGTGTATTGTGTAACTTTTCTGGTGGAGTGTCCATCACCTGCTTGTTTCTATGGATATGTCATTGCTTTGTCTGGAATGTTCCATAGTATGAAATTAAACAGCTCTACCTTACATTTATACAATTACAGATGGTTGTATATAAAAAAATAAATTAAAAACAGGCATTCTGACTGTGAGTGGGGTCGCCTCTCCACAGATCTGACCTGTCACTTGATCTGGTTTTGGTCTCCATGAAGATAGAAATGTTTAATACCATACTGTGAAACATTTTAGACAAAGCAATAACATCGCCATGGAGAAAAGAATTTCATGAACCCTACAGCAGAAAAAAGTTACACAATGCATCTTTAAAAGGTCCTATATTTGCAAAATTGACTCTTGTGAGCTTTAAGACATGCTAGAATATTGTTGCCTCATCAAAAATATACCTGGAGTTGTGTTTTGTTCCATTATCTGCATCTCCAAAGCTCAAAATGCTCTGTTCCATTTTCTGATGTCATGAAGTGGTAGTTTCAAGATAAGGCCAAGGTAGTCAGCTACTTTTCACTTTTTGTTCAGTAGAAATGGGCAGTTACCTCCTCAACCTGGAGTTGTGTTTTCTTTCATTCACACATGTTTGAGTAACTCTTTATTATTAGTCTGTGCACATCTCCAAAGCTCAAAATACTCTCTTCCACCTTGTGATGTCATGCAGTGATAGTTTCCAAGTTAAAACCTACCCCTTCACCTAGTTTTCAGTAGATATTGGCAACCTTAAAATCCCATTATAAGTTTTGGATGATGAAACATGATCAGAAAAGGACGTAATCTGAGCTCTTTAAAGGAAACACTGCTGCGTGGTACTCTGGCACAGTTTGTCAACTGTACACAGTAATATTTGTCTAAAGTGGCTGAAACAGGTCCAATGACTTCCTGTTCAAAATTACCCAGTACTAGCCCTGCAGCAGGTTTTCCCTTACCATTCCAAAGGCCAATGTGTGTGTGTTAATAAACTGCTCTTTGTCCACCTTGTGCTAAAATGGAACTCTCTATCTCATGGACATGGAAAATAGTCTCTGTAACCCACTTATTTTCAGTCAAATCAACTATTCTGAGAAGAATCTGGAGCAGATTGTACTCCAAACCTACAAAATGGAAAAAAAAAAAAATCCTCAAAGGTTCACAAACAGTTAACAGAATTGTTATATTTTTAAGTCTGTCTGGACTTTTGGCCTAATTGCAAGTTCCTAAATCTAATTTTTAGTGAAACATGCCAGACTGGTGCCACCTAGTGCCTCTGCTCAATTTCATTTCTCTCCAGTGACTAGGTCAGGAATCGGATTACATTAGCCCAGACATGTCAAACTCAGGCCCGGGAGCCAAATTTGGTCTGCGATATAATTATATTTGGCCTACGAGATCATGTCAAATATATATAAGAGCTGCCCGCCGACTACAGATAGACTAAAGACACATTATTTATTTAAAATTTTGTTGTTATTTTATATTATACTTATTCTGGATTCAGTGTTTAAGTAAGACTATTATTAAACATTTATTTTAATAAGAAAAGGTTTAACATTACATATTGCAAAAAAAGCAAAAACTTGCAGATGATGAAAATTTTCAGTAAATGTTTAGTTTGGTCCACGACTTAGTCCCATTTTTTAATTTTGGTGCTCTGTGAATTTGAGTTTGACACCCCTGTACTCTAGACGGTTTGCAAGAACCCCGGAAATTGTAGACCGCGCACCGGCCGATCAGTGAAGAACTGTGAAGCCATGACGTCAAACTCAAGCGCCTGTCTGGGTCCCTTTTGAGGTACAGCACAACAGTAAACAAAGTGGTCGAGATGGATGTAGACGAAGCCATACATTCTGCGTTGGCAACGATTCCCGAGATCGAGGATTTAAATCCGGAACAAAGAGAATGTTTCGTGAATTTTATCAAGGGGAAAGATGTTATTGCCCTCCTTCCTACAGGATTCGGCGCATCGCATACATCCTGACCAAATAGCAGCGATTGTTTAAATTAAAAAAATACCCACCTACTGTCGAGCAAACAAATCCTAATGCT